TTCATATCCGGTGTTCTTCATTCAGACCTTGGTGTTTAGGTCTCCCATCAGAATGGTCAGGTCCTTTGTTGGGCACTTCTCGACGATTGACTGCAGCCTATTGTAGAATTGATCTTTAGCGTCTTCATTGTAGTCGTTGGTAGGCGCATAAAATTGGATAACGTCCATTGAATTGCCCTCTTTCTTTGTTTTGAGGGACGCTTTGATGATCCTTGGTCCATGAGATTCCCATCCTATAAGTGCATTTTGTGCTTGTTTGGACAGCATCAATGCAACTCCTTGTGCATGTGGGGCATTTTCTTCATCATGGCCGGAGTATAACAGAAGCTCCCCTGAAGCTAGTCGTTGTTGTCCAACTTTCGTCCAATGTGTTTCACTGATCTCAAGCACTTCTAGCTTGTATCTCCTCATTTCTGCAGCAATTTGGAAGACTCTCCCAGTTTCCCACACTTTACGAGCATTCTGTGTACCTAAATAAATGGTCGCTCTGGTTGTCAGAAGGGGCATCGGCCTCGTAACTTCCGAACGAATCCGGCTTTCATCATGAGGCGTCATAATTCTTCTAAACGAAGACCTTCTGACTCCCAGAGCAGAGTTTAAAAGGTTTGAATAATTTTCTCTGGTAAGCGTTTTTTTAGCGAGTTAGTTTTCTAAGGGATGGGGTCGCTAACCCCATGCCCAACCCTCCTCCTTTATCCGGGCTTGGGACCGGCAGTAGCCCCCGGAGGGACTCCAGGCGGAGTTTGTTAAAATCATAGAAAAGATTCTTCAGAATGAGCTGTTTAAGTATCTCGATAAAAACCGGATTCTTTCGGAGAAGCAGCACGGTTTCAGAATAGGTTACTCTTGTCTCACTAACTTATTAGTGGCTAGTGAAAGCTGGTGCGCTCTTAAGGACCAAAAGTTACCTGTAGACGTAGCCTTTATTGATTTCAGCAAACCTTTTGACAAGGTTCCACACAACCGGCTGTTATATAAGTTAATAAATGTCGGGATTGGAGGCAATCTATTTGTGTGGATAAAAGACTTCTTAGTTGGACGTCAACAAAGAGTTCGGGTGAACTCAAAGTTACCTAGCTGGGGAATTGTGCTTAGTGGAGTGCCCCAGGGTACAGTTTTGGGGCCAATGCTATTCCTCTTGTATGTTAATGACCTTCCTCGTCTCCTATCATCATTGGTCTTGCTATATGCTGACGATGTCAAGATATGGAGAACGATACGATGTGAGGGTGATAGCTTAGAACTCCAAAATGACCTGAAGAAATTATCTGAATGGTCTCAAACCTGGCAGTTGCCGATAAATACTTCCAAGTGTGTTGTGATGCATATCGGTCATCAAGGCACAGATACATACACGATAAATAACACTGAACTAACTGTCGTCCAGACATATAATGACTTAGGAGTCATCGTTAGCCAAGACTTAAAGACTACTGCACACTGCTGTGCAATAGCCGCCAAAGGTTTTAGAACGTTATGGTCAATACGTGGGGCTTTTAGTCATTTCGACGCCAAGACGTTTTTGACTTTGTATACAGTGTTCGTACGTCCTAAACTTGAGTACTGGATACAAGCGGCCAGCCCTTGCTTAAAAAAAGACAGTGAGCTTCTGGAAAAGGTTCAGAGAACGGCAACTAAGCTGATTCCCGGAATAGCGAAGCTTCCGTATGAAGCTCGACTGGCCAAGCTGAACCTTTTCCCGTTGTCATATCGCAGAACTAGAGGCGGCTTGATTGCAGTTTTCAAATTGCTTAGTGCCAAATTTGCACCTGATATGCCCTAATTTTTCTTGTCTTCCAAAACAGAGAATTTACGAGAACACTCCAAAAACGTTCACAAGCCAAGAACAAATCACTTTTCAGCTGACTATCGACTTTCCTATCGAATCATCAACGAGTGGAACTCATTACCCAACACGTGGTTGAGGCTCCATCCGTCGATTCTTTCAAAAGAAAGTAGGATCAACTGAGGGACCACCATTGCCAGGACTAACACAAGCCACCAGGCCTCCTGTCTTTCCCAAACTGAAACTGAAACTGAAACAACTCTATTATTGACATCTGAATTGTTCATATGGTTGTGGACGGAATAGAAGAAGCTTCCACTTAACAGGTTCCCGTGCCTAGTAGCAGTGGATCGCCAATACTCCACAGCAGGTACCTAGGTATATTAACTATAATAGATTGGAAAAAAAGAAATTGTTAAATCATAGTAAGATATAGGTTAAGCTTCCTCTTAAATGACTCCTGGGAAGTCGCTTGCACTAGTTCAGTCAGCAGCGAATTCGAGCATTTGACAACTCTTAAGGAGTAGACGTTGTGTCTACAGTCCGTTTTGCTATGTTGTGTCTCCAGTTTTTGGGTGTTACCTCTTAGGTTGGTGTTGGAATTAAGCTTAAGTAGGTGTTTGAGAGGATGTGCAGAAGTGTTAAGGATACTATAAGCCATTAGGTCACATCTAAGACGTCTATATTCTAATGAGCAAAGGTCAATTGATTGGAAACGCCATTCATAAGGCTTGAATTTGAGTCCCAGAACTGATTTCGTGGCTCGCCGTTGGATACGCTCCAGAGTGTCCTTATCCTTTTGGAGTGAGGGAGGAAATACAATGTTTCCGTACTCTAAATGGGGACGAATAAAACTATTGAAGATTATATGGAAAGTTCTTCTGTCAAACTGGCCAAAAATGCGCTTCACTGTTACCAGTGCAAGATTTTCTCGAAAGGCATTTTTGTCACAGAGTATGACTTCAAATCGTAGGGTACCAGCACACCTAAATCTTTTTCAACTTGAGATACCTCTAGAGAGGAGTTCCTTAATTTGTAGTTGTAGTCTGAAAAATGTCTTAGATGGACTACTTTACATTTTGAAGTGTTAAAGATAAGTCCGTTGTCATACGCCTAACTTTGAAGCCGAGTCAGATCCTCCTGAAGTGCCAGTATATCTTCTTGGTTGCGTATCTCTCTCCAAAGTTTCACGTCGTCGGCAAAAAGTAGTAAGTCTGACGTTACCTGTTGAGGAAGATCATTTATGTAGATCAAGAAGAGAAGAGGTCATAGTACTGAGCCCTGAGGGACCCCACTAGGGCATTCCATAGCCTGAGAGAAAGTGAAGTTAACCCTGACCTTAAAATGTCGATTTTTCAGGTATGAAGTGAGCCAATCAATTAGAGGTGATTTGATACTCAGTCGTTTGAGCCTAATAATAAGACATGTGTGGCTGGACATTTTAAAAGCTTTTGAGAAGTCAAGGTAAACGACATCAACCTTAAGCTTGCGATCAAGGATGGTTGTCCATCTGTCCACCACAGTCAGCATGTTGGTCATACAAGAATAAAACTTCCTGAAACCATACTGTTGAAGTGAAGATAAGTTTAAGGATAATAAATAGTCGTGTATAGCGTCGCACATCACCGACTCCACAATTTTTGGAGGTATAGAGAGAAGAGCCACCGGTCGGTAGCTTGAAGGCTCGCTGCGTCGACCTCCTTTGAAAATTGGTGTGATGTGAGCCAGCCTCCAAATTTCCGGTAGTTTTCCTCGAATTAGCGAGTGTGAGAACATCACACCAAGCGGCGTTGTCAAGATTGAGGCTGCTTCCTTCAGCATGGCGGGCCAGAAGAAGTGTCTAATCTTAAGTGCTGCAGTTTCCGGAACACCAAGTCAGCGCTTAGGTTCACTTCGGAAGGTCCTGTGGAATTGCAAATGAAACTGTCATCAGTAAAGTTAGTGTTGGTCGGTTGAAATGTCTGTGACTAATGTTCAGCCAGAAGGCGTCGCCATCGTTGTTGGTCGGGCCGTTAAGACCTACCAGTTGGGGAACTCCAGTTTCGGCTTGACGAAGAGAGGCCGCATAGCGGAATAGGCTTTTAGGATTAGAGGCAAATTTGTCCATAAGCTTTGTCTGGTACTGAAGCCTATCTTCTCATATAGCCTTCGTGCATATGTTCCTGATATAATTATATTGCCTGTACGCTCCGTCGTTGTCAGTTCGTTCGTATTCCGCCCAACAGTGCCTTTTGCGGCTTAGCAGGCGAAGGGTACGGTTCTTGATTATTGTAGGTGGCGTGCAGCTTTTGGGAACCGTTTGAGGAACTGAATGGTTTGTAGCACGTAAGGGCGTGTGCAATAAGAAATCCCAATGACCGTCCACATCGAGTTGGGGGTGAACATCCCAAACCACCTGTTGTAGATAGTCGTGTAGAGCTGGCACATTTAACCGTTTAAAATTCCAACGCAAGTTATTGGTGGGGTATCTTAGCTTAGTTTTGCTGACAAAACTGAAGGCTATGACGGCATGATCGCTTTTTCCCAGGGGAGCCAGGATTGGGAGGTTGTCAAGTAGAAATTCTTCGTTTGTGAATACAGTCTAAGCGCGATGGGGTCTGACTGTTTCTCCAACGAGTTGCCGACCTCACATTTTCGTATAATCCCAAGTTATCGATGAGGTTGAAGAACCGAGCTTCAATTGAGTTGTCGCCTCCAGTATACGTGTGTTCCGCGAAGTTGACTCTAGGGAGATTAAAGTCCCCTAGAATCAGGATGTGTGAAACCGAGACGAGTAGAGCGGGATAGTCCTTCCAGCATACGACTATCGTACTCGATGTCGGCAGTTGGCTTCCTGTAAATGACTCCGACTAGACACCTCGAAATACTTGACAACGCGTGAGCTTCTTCCTGTTTGTCTGTATGAGCCTTACCTGAATGGACAGGTAGCCCACCTATATGAGGTTTGCCGAGGTGGTAGGCCCTGTCCTTTACACGTTTTTTTATCGTCTAGACAGTTCACAAGTGGAATGATCAGCTCCAACTTGCCTTTGTGTTTGGTCCTAGCTTCGTATGGCCTATCTTTAACACTCCTAAAGGTGATAAAAAACCCAAGTTGGTCAGATGGTCGATAGTAATTACGAATAAATTAATCTTAATGATTTGTGTCATAAGCCATTTGATGTGACACTAAGTTAGGATATATTTGTTTTAATTAGTTCCGAAAGGTTTTAGCGCAGTCGAATAATCCCAAGTTTCTGGGTCTTTATTCTGTCTCAGGTAGGCTTATCATTCGCAGTCTTTTGAAACGACTTTTGTAATTGAAGTTTATCCTGTAAGCTGATCTGGATACTAAGGTTCTTGCCATTTAGGACGAAAATTCACACTACCTACTATTACCATAGTAAATGCTACAATTCCGTACGTTGGGCTTTTCAAATGACATTCAGCTTAACTACTCATAACTTTCTACCTTGGCACAGTATTCCTGTTGTGTTTATCTACAAATATGCTTTTAAATACAATGGGTGATTTTGACAAACTAATGGTGACTTCTGTCACAGACAGTAATCAGTTCATCACCGTATCTTTGTACTTCTACGTTGTTCTTTACGCCAGCAAGAATTTCGCCAAATAGTGATTGGACCCATGAAGATTAACTTCCCTAACCGACCTCAGGGTGTCAAACTTGCGATTCAGTGGCCAGGTTGTTGAATTACATTGTCTTAAGTCATTTCAAAAGGTTCAGTTACTCTTTGTGTCCGAAGCGTGCCCTACGTCAAAGTCATTTTGACAAAACAGGGGTGTCAGTGCTTTAACACAGCATGATAGTTAAGTAAGTCGACTTTGAGATAGCTTCGTTGATTACTCCAGTCACACTGAATCACATTTTCGTACTTAATATTTTAACATCAACCTGTTTGTTAGGAGTCTTGAGCAGTTAAGATGGCTTGTCATTATCTACTCCTTTAATGTTTCTGCTTCCTGTCAATTGGTCAACGATAACTGCCTTAGAATTATCTCGTATCTCTTCATAAAGCCGTTGTAACATTAACAACACGGTAAGATAGAGACGATCTTTTATTTAATATTATTAATTGGTTGGTTATATACTTTTATTTGAACAGTGACAGTTATTTGGGAGCTAATTAACCTGGGAATCTACTTCGATTGTGATTTTAGCCAACTGATCAAGCTGCTCATAATACCTATAGACGTATAATCTAGATAAATGATTAAGCAAGTCCACTCTTAAAACTGTTTGCTATTCATAAGAGATATATGACCAATTGATGTAACCGGCTTTTGTTTTTATGGTTATGTTATGTTTCTTCTTGGAATCTGGGTTTAAGGTCATAGCTTCCGTTAAAGTAAATTTGACTAGAGTTCGCCATGCTCATTCATCTTAACTCCGATTTGTTCATCCGTAGATTCAGAAAGATGACTGCAGATTTGACCGATGAGAGTCTCTTTCCTATTGCTATTCTTATTGATGAGTTAAGAAATGAGGAAATGCAAACCCGTCTGGCTAGCATCAGAAAACTTACTACTATTGCTCTTGCACTTGGTCCAGAGAGGACAAGAACAGAATTGGTTCCATTCCTAACCGATACCATATATGATGAGGATGAGGTACTTAGGGAAATGGCCAAACAATTGGCAGACTTTGTTCCATTGGTTGGAGGACCTGAATATGTCCATTGTCTTCTACCACCATTGGAAGGACTTGCATCTGCTGAAGAAACGGTTGTGCGGGATAAAGCTGTGGAGACGTTGCGAACACTTGCACCTAGTTTCTCACCCAAGGTTAGTTTATCCTCTTTGTACTGGATCCACGCTTTGACGTTATCTTTAAGTTTTCTTATAACCGTACTCCTATTCATGGTTGTGTCGATATCCATTTTAACTCCAATATTTTCTTCAGGGCTGTGAGCAAGATTCGGGACCTTTACCCTTCTCATGATATACTCACTACAACACGTAACTATCTTCTGGAGTATTATAAAAGCTTACAAATGTGGGACAAACTGGATAAGTTCCATACAGGTAGTGCTGTTTGGACTGCCCCGAAATCGTCTTTTTTTAAACTCCATGTAGTCACGTACGACTTGTTTATCCGGTTTCTGATGAAATACAACTGTTCAGCGTCACTGGGTTAAGGTTTGCGCCAACCAAGGATCGTATCATAATTACTTTTTCTTCTTTGGACGCTTCGTGACAATGTAGTAATGCAAATAATTAACTCAGAGCATTTGATTACGAGTTGGTCACTTTGTAGCTACTTTTCATCTTAATATCCTTGGCTGACAACTCGATTTGTGCTCCAGTTATCTAAGACTGTGGTAATGACTGGGTTTTCTTGGATATCATGTTCTTAGTTTCCCTTATACTGAATTGCCTCTGTTTTTCGGTTTTTAACATTCTCTATAAAAGACTTCCCTACAAATTCCAGAATATTCATTCTCTACTAAGATCAACATTGCGTTTCTTTTGGGGGCTTAGAAATATATAGAATATCCCCGTGGCATCTCACTGGAGTAAATAGCTGGGATTCTAGTTTTTATGCAATTCACGTCATTGTTTCTTCAAATCCTTCCAACATATTGAAGTCTGCAGGTGTTGCTACTCATATCTACATCAGACTTGATACCGAATTGTGATCAATAATAACTCAAAATTGATTGTTGCCGTGCTATCTTTAGCTGTGAGAACAGACCGATACACGTTCGTAGTAGATCCCACGTTAATAGTATGTCCTGCTGCTATTATCGTCTGTCCAACTATCTTACACTGGACTGTCAAGTAAACCTCCCTCTCCTAAAGCCTCCGGTTTAGTTGTCAATTGTAGTCATAATATGTCCTGTAGTTTATTGTCTAGATGATTCGTTATAAACCGTCCCAAGTTTTTGGTTCAAAACTACGACTCAGCGGTTGAAATTCGAGTGGCCTAACCACTGAGCTACCCTTCCATGATGTAACTCAGCAACTTAAACATCCTATAACCTCTAGTTTCGACGATTCCCATAGTTGAAAGGCATGGTTATTGTTTTTAATGAATTGCAGTTATATTCTCTTCGGAGCAAAATGTAAGTAATGTAGTATTGTGACTTTTGCTGGATGAGTATTGAGTAATATTCTTGCAGGCTGACTGACTGTTAAATGAGTTACTTGAGCTCACACCAATTAAAAGGACCAATATACCTTTACGGTGTATCTTCAAGCATGATGGCGTGATCAAACTGTATGGAGGGAAATAAACTTCCCATCTGGAGTTTACTCTGAAACTCATACATAAAGTTTTGAGGAACACCATCTTAACTCAAAAAAACTAAAACGAATAAATTTGGTTTTTATTTCTTAAACAGTAAATATTCCTCTCTCATCTAGTTAACTTTAACAACAGTATCACAGACCACACACAAATTAAGTGACTTGTGTGGCGCATATGTATTCTGTGCCCCTTTGTACCAATATTTGTGTTTAAATAAATAATTAACAGTTTATGCTTTTTGATTTTTATCTCGATCACGATGGAAGTGTAGTATCTACGAATCGGGATCTCGGTCTTTTAGTTTACAATCTTGATGGACTCAGTTGATTCCTAAATAATGAAGTGAAGTGTCTATATATTTTACATACATAGTATATGTGTAGATCATGATTTTATACTATAGTACTTTAAACAGATACAATGCTAGTCATTAATTGGGACTCATCTGCTTGTCTTTGTTTTTAGGATTTGGAAACTCACTTTCTGCCACTGATCAAGCGTTTGGCAACAGGTGACTGGTTTACTAGCCGTACTTCTGCTTGTGGACTGTTTAGCGTGATTTATCGACAGTCTTCTACTGCTGTCCGTGCAGAACTGCGTCGTGCCTTTAAGCAGCTTTGCACTGACGATACTCCTATGGTCAGGCGTGCAGCTGCTAACCGTCTCGGAGAACTAGCTCGTTGTTTGGAACTAGATGCGTTACGTTCGGACCTGTTACCGCTATTACCTCCTCTTTCCCAAGTGAGCCCAATATATCTCTACATTTCCATTAAACCCTAAGAGTAAAAATTGGAGTTTATCTACTGCTGTCCATCGTAATTGTTTTCTGTTTTAGCAGGATGATCAGGACTCTGTACGATTACTGGGTGTGAATGCGTCAGTAGATTTCGCTGAAGTTCTTCCTACTGAAGATGTCTTGACACACATCATTCCTCTTATAAGAGGAGCTGCAGAAGATAAATCTTGGCGAGTCCGTTATCAATTAGCTGATCACATTACTGATCTACAGGCTGCAGTAAAACCCCAACTTGCTGGACAGCACTTGGTAGACGTTTACCAGGTTAGCTTTCTCCATAATTTTAGCGTGATATTCGTACCTTAATCGTTCCCCCTTATCTCAAGAAAGATTATAGGTACACTTCTGCTTTAACCGTACCATCTGTTTTTCGTGTTGAAACGTTCATACATTATCATTAACTTCATAGTCCCATTCATAAACAGGCCATTAATTTGATTTATGTATTTCATGATAAGGTAACATTTTCAAAGCCTTTTAAATGTTGATGTCTGTAAATTTGAAACACATTAGTTTCTTATTTTATCAGAAAGACCTTTCAACCATGAGTACGCAGATGACATCGTTTTACTGTGAGGTGGTATGCAATGCATTTAAATCGCTTTTGACCAGTTTAGAGTCACTATCCGTAACCGTAACATTCTCTTTGAACCTTCTGAAGGTAAAATATATCCTCATGGCTGACAAAAGCTTGTGCTTGGATGCTTTATGGTGATGCGGTAGAAAAGTTTGCTTATCTTGTTAATCGTGTGAGTGCTGTCGATGCCGTAACAGATGAAGTCAATCTACACATGGCGAAACCTAAAGTCGCCCTTACTTACCCGGTCCATCTTCGGCGCCTGTCGTGACGTTAGGTTGGTTGTAAAAGGTCATTTTATTTTATGCTTGCCCATCTGAGCTAGAGATATTTTTGGTGACGCCTCGGTCATTTTGCATGTCCGACATTTGATGGCAGCGCCATGTCAATCATGCTATGGTTCGGCAATATGTGTTTGAACGCACTGTCGAAAATCCAACCAGTATCATAATTTGGAAGCACTAACTTCAGTGACTTGAACATGCTTTACGAATGTCACATCTTGCATTGTTGAGACTTTGTGGAAAAAGTAGGGTTAGATGATATTTATCACGGGTCTGTGTTTATGACAACTGTTTAAGACTGGCATCTGTCGGTCTATCACAACTCCCTGGTTGGAGTCCTAGGGTGAGTGAAACTCTGGCTTTTATCTGACATACCTCAACGTAGAAGCTAATAGAAACTCGTCCGTATTTTCTTTTACATTCTTCATAATATTGAAAGGAATTCATTTAACTAAAACGATTCTTTCAGCTGTATCTTTAACGAACCTTTCTCTTGTTACATACTGTTCTTATGTATATATTTCCTGCTTTTACTCCTATTCGTTCCCGTATTTCTTCACGGTGTTAGCTCTATTTGTTTGGTACATATTCTGTTGGTGCTCAATTGTGTCGGAATTCCTTCATACTCAATAAAATCTTCACTGTTTAACTGGTAAATAAGTGGCGGATTTATTTCCTGATGATTCGTATATAATGAAAGGTTGTCGAAATAGTTACTGTTGGACTTACTCTTGCTCATATAGATTTCTACCTTTCAACTCACCAACAATGAATGAGAGCGCATAAAAAATTCAAGTTGTACACCACCAAATAAATCTGATGGGAACGTTTTTCACACCCCAATTACCGTTTACATCGACTTTTAATGTTTGGAATGGAAATGGGTTCGATGGAGACATTTGGGTGCCTAAACAAGACATACTATCAGTCTCTGAAGTCAGTGTTTGTTGGATTGTCATTGTGGTAGGTGTAGACCACCTAGTCAGGGGCAACACATTAACCGCGATCAGTGATAAGAGACGTCAGGTTACATTTCAGGATCGATCACTTATTCAGTCAGTCATCTTCAAAGTGAAACGTGGTATTGGTTCAAGTCCCCGCACCTTATCGATACAGTAAGGTTGAAAAGCCGAATCTCAGAGTAGTATAAGTAGTGACACTGTCAGTGGTAGTAGAGAAGATGAGGCATCAAAGATACTGTCCAAAAAAGAATATTAATAATATTAATAAAATTAGAAGAAAATAACTTGAGGAAATTAGATCCAGCAAAAACTGAATGCGCTTGCGCTATTGTGAATGGTTCTGGGCTATGTCACTTACGGTCACTAAACATTAATCACGCGGCTCTGTCTAACAGCTAGTATTTTAGTTTAGTTGCCCCTTTCACACAATGTACTTACACACCAGCGAACATCGTGCGTCGAGGTAGACTGTAGATGAGCGTACGTAATACGTGTTTCATCCATCTCAATCGATAGATGTTTAGTACATCAATCGGTCACAATGGAGCAAATGGATTCATTCTTTCTTATCACGAGTCTTGATAATCACTATAATTTCATACGTCTATTTCTAGAACTCATCCCTTTTCAAACCATATTCGCCGCTGTTTGATCTTGCGTGCTGCCATTGATATATTCAATTTGTGACTAACGTCCATTCTTTCACAATTACCTTCATCGATGTTACGGTTTCAATATATCGGTCAATAGTGGAGTGAAGTTATATCTGAAGTAATTAGGGCATCTATTAAAAAGTCCGAAACATTTCCTACGTCGAAATATACTATTTTAAGTGGGAGTTGAGAAAGAAGTCCAAGGTACTTAACTGAATAGATATGAACGTTATAAAAATGAGTGGGATTCGCTTGTATTTATATTCAACGTTTTAGAATGAAAATTTTTTTATTAGCAAGGGAGCTACTCAGTGTAGTTTGGAGATCTCTTTTGAGGATATTTAATCAAAAGGAATTCATTTACTGGTTTCTGTGTTATTTCTGTTAATTTATATTCCAATTTACCCTCTCTTAATTTCACGGAAGCCGATTTCACAGTCAAACTAATGAATTAAGATGTGGCATCTAACCCTTAAAGTAGATGCCGTTGTCACAATAAAAAACTCTGTGGTATGGTGTTTGTTGTTTTAACTTAAACGTCAATCTTTCCCAATGAATGAAAGTATCGATGACCTGAAACTAAAGAAACATGCTATTAGACTTCTTGTTTTGTATTTTATGAAACATGAGTCGGAAAGATTCCATATTCCCGTTAGGTTACAGACATAACGTGGCCAGTTAATTAAAATTGATCAAATGTGTAAATAATAATCTATTTCTTTGATCAACTCGCATTCAGTAACATTCATATATGTACCGATTTCCGCTCCACTTTCATACCTATCCTGACATTGAAATGTAAATAACAGCCAATCACTTCAATAATCATATACTGATTACCGTGTTTAACTAACCATCGATTAATTCAATGGTTCGTACACACGTGTATATTCGTTCTCAATAGGATTTCGATCATATTGTTAATGAAGTAGAATGGCGTGTACTTAATGCATGGTCATCGTTGGTTTCTCTACTCTTAGCTTCATTTTACTTGTTACATGGTTTAATTAATGTTCTTAAATCGTCAAAATATAGCAAAAATATTTATGGTTAAATAACAGGAGAATTTTATCTAGTGATTATATGAATCAAAATAGCCGACAATGGCGCTGGTGCACTCACCCTTCATCTTGATCTTAAATTCCAGTATTCCTTCATCCATACCTTTCCATTGTCTTCTCAAACTATATTCTCAATGTCTAGTCTTTTTATCACTACAACTACTACATCACTCTGATATGTGGTCGTGAAGGAAAAATATGATTAGTCGTTGAGCGTGAACAAACAGCCACAGCCTACGGTCTATTAAATATTTGATTTCCCTTCCTGTCATTGATTTCTACTCCGGACTCACTAAGTGTGTCCGCTTGTAATTTTGTTGAATAAAGTATTATTTAGTGTTATTCTGGTTCTCTGTTCTGACTTGTGAGTCCTGGTTCTTATATAACGTGATTAGTCTTATTGACGTACTATCGTAATATCCGTGAGATAGAAATATTTTAAACCATCCGTTATATTACACTCCCATCTCTTTTGTTATTTGTATTTCGTCGTGCTAATCAGGTGTGGAAAGTATGGTAACTTGGGCCATTGCACATCTGTCCCAGGCTATATGTTCATAATTTGTGTACGTAATGATAACATCTTTCATCCATCACTAGATAACAGTAATAGCTCATGTTATTACTGCATAGTTTGAGGCCAGCTTCTTTTGTGTCAGTGAATCACATCTCATTAAATGTAATTCGCATAATGTAACTTGTTAATAGAAGTAGGTTAGACTGCTTGAATTTAAGCCACACTTTATGTGAAAACCAGCAATACTATTCGTCTACCTAAAGCGACGTAGGTGAGATGTTGTTTAGAACTACAATCCGGTTTTTGGAATCCAAGCGTCAACTCACTAGCGGTACGCTGACTCTTTTAAACTATTAATGTTTAGATGAATAAATGCTTTTGGTGAAATATTCTGACCAAGTATGGACTCGTTTCTAATGCAAAAAACTCTGTCTCAATTCTAGATCCTTCTCAAAGATCCAGAAGGAGAAGTTCGCGCAGCGGCTGCAGGCAAACTGAAGAAGTTTGCTTCGTCTCTAGCCCCTGATATTCGTGAATCCGTAATTATGAAAACATTGTTACCTATCATTCGGGAAATGGTCGGTGAAACTAATTTACAGGTAAAAACGGCTCTGGCCGGTGTCATGATGGCTTTAGCTCCGCTGCTTGGCAAGGAGAATACATTAGAACATCTTCTTCCATTACTGTTGATTCAATTAAAGGACGAAAATCCAGATGTAAGTTTAGATTCATAGTTTCCTACTTTTGATTAGCCGTAGTAAATGAAACACTCTATACATTTCTGTGTTATAACTTCACACAAATTGCTAGATCTGGTCAATTTCATCATAAAGTTCCTATTTGTTTTTCACTCCTCATATTGAATTACTGTATAGTTAAACTATTATCCGGATGATGTAAATTTTGTTGTCCGTTGATTATCAGCAAGAATAAAATCAGGAAACATTTGGTGAGTGTCATCTATATAACTATAAATTTGTTTGGCAAGTTGATGAAAATAATACTTATGTAACCAGATGTAGGTCAAAACAATGGAGAAAAGTCCAGTAGTTTTATTATAGTTTTGAAGTCCAGTTTATTTTGTTCCAATCTTAATCAGCGAAATATTTATGTTGTGTTTAGATTATAATAGAGTGTAATCATTTTGTCGATACTTTTCTACCGTACGTTAAAAATCAGAGTAAGCTTATTTTGCACATTTTTCACTTGGTTACATATGACATAACAGACAAAAATCTTTTTTATGCGGGGAAAAGTGACCTTGTAGTACCATACAATAAAGAGCTGGGAAAGTTTACAAAAGTTACCCGAATTCCATAATTCTGTTTTTTACATGTAGGAAATTTTAGCATAAGTAACCCATTGTACTAATTGTAATTTTTGAAAGCGTCAAGACATTTTTATACTGTTATAATCAGTATCCATCTGGCCAAGGTGAAGAATATTGAGAGAAACTCGTTCTAAAAATTTACCTCCTTGTCCTTCGCACAGTTCTGTCATCTTATTATTTGTGTGGTAATTGTTGCATAATAATAGATTTTTATTTATCTGTTGTCAATGAATCCTGAATTATGTATGGTTTTGTTTTTTATAATATCCAATTTTCGGAAATATGTCTCACTTTTTTGTAGGTCCGTTTGAATATTATATCTAATTTAGAGTGTGTAAATCAAATTATGGGAATTACCCAACTTAGTCAAAGTCTACTTCCTGCTATTGTTGAATTGGCCAGTGATACAAAGTGGCGTGTTCGTCTAGCAATAATTGAGTATATGCCACTATTAGCTAGTCAACTTGGTTTGCAATGTTTTAACGAGCGACTCACAAATTTATGCTTGGGTTGGCTAGTAGACGATGTATACGCTGTACGTGAAGCAGCTGTAACAAATTTACGAAAACTTATGGATCAATTCGGAGTCGATTGGGCCAGTTCTCAAATCATCCCTCGTGTAAGTTAGCTATCCTCAGTACTCTTTAATTTTTCTTCAGTCTCGCGGTCAAACGGTCGCGCTCTATTTTCACATTAGCTGATCATTTTTTGTCATAGCAAACTTGTTTCAACTCCAGGTGTCAATGGGTTTTTAGTGTTTTTCTTCATATTTGTTTTACTCAATGGCTTGGTCGATCAAGGCCATTTAATTAACAATAGTATTTCATTCACATCACATTTTTTGTAGGTTATATTGTAAAACATATTATTTTATCGTTAAACTGATACTTTTTTGTCTAAGACATCCTGAATTATGGCAATCAAAACAATGCAACAATTTTTCAGTGTTTCTGTTTGTTGGACCTAACCTTCAGTTTTCCTGTTTTATTGTATTCACTGTCATTCCACATAATATCAACGCAAATACCAGTTCTTTGTTTGACTGTTGTTGGGAATTGTAGAGTCGTTCTTTTTTATGATAACTTCGTATTTTCTTCATTTATTATTGGTTGTTTCCTGCGAAATTGTTTAAAAGCATATCCGATTGCCTCCGAACCCCAATTTTGGCTACAAAACATTGCTGCATACGGACCATGTATAATGCTCGCCTGATCGTCTGTTTAAGGACTATGGAAAATTTTCACTGACTTATCGTTGATTTGCGTTGCTTTCTTCACTTTTAATGACTACCGATGAAGTGAGATATAAGTTTAGTCAAATTTTTTCTAATTTCATATCTGAGTATAAACATAAATCCCATTGAGACAATTAGTGAATAGAAGAACAGAAAGGGGAGATTTTTCTCAATTATTTTTCATCATGGCTCAGTCAGTCAGCTACAACGTAGGACCAGGCACATATATGCATCAGTACAAGTTTCTATACCTCATTAGAACAAGATGAACAGCAACATCATAGAAGCACTTCAACGATAGTAAAAAACATTAGGGTGTATATAATTTATAACGACATATTACTGATTGAGTAACAGTATTACATAATAATATTGTAAGTTCTACAAGTTACTAAAAATCATTCCATTTATCAACTAAGTGATGGAATATGGTGATTGTAATAATCAAAGTAATTACTTGTAAAATCGGGAACAGTTAAACGACTGTCAGAATACTTAATTACTCACCTACTCACTCACTTCTCAGGTACACCATATTGTCGAAGAAGGTTACATACGGTTCTCCTATCCACACTGTCGAACGCCTTCTCATAGTCAAGGAAGTTGATTTGTAGTGACAAATTCCATTCAAGCGATTACCCAACAATGATCCGTAGTGTCGCGATTTGGTCTATGAACGACCAATCCTTATGAAATCCAGCCCGTTGCTTTCGAAGTTGCGTGTCTACTAAATTTTTCATTCGGTTCAACAACACTACGTTGGAAACTTTTCGTGGTACTGATAGTAGTTTGACGCTTTTGTAGTTCTCACACTTGCTCAGATCTCCTTTCCTTGATATTTTTCTTTCCAGTCTGTCTGCACTTGTTCTTCCTCCCAAATCTTCATGAATAGAACGTGGAGCATGTTTACAGTTACTTCTTTGTCTTACTTCAGTGCTTCAGCTGGTATATTATCAGGTCCTGCTGTTTTCCCACTCGTGATTTGTTTGATGCCCATGCTGATTTTTTCGATCGTTGGAGTGACATCTATAGGAAGGTCTGTATGTGCTGCTTCGATGTTTGGTGGGTTCAGTGCTCTACCCACTAGTGCCGTTGTTCTTAAACCGCAATGATTGATTTAACTTCTTTGTCCTTGGCTGGCTTACAATATTTCCCTGATGGTTTCTTCGCTGTCATATAGTTATCTCATATTTCCTTCTCTTGAAGCTTTTTCCACTATCATTTCTTGATCTTATGTATTAAGAAAATTTATAAAAGCTTTTTATAATCCGTTAATTTTGCCGAAATTGCGGAAGAATTAAGAGAGGAATAAAAAGTCACGTAAAAACCAAAACTTGAAAGAAATTAGAAAATGTTTTTGTAATGTATGTGGTGGATCAACGTTCATTAAAACCCACTCCCATTTTAATGACCTGGTTAAGTAAAGAACGGTTAAAAATGACTACGACTTACGTTCTCGTTCACTTAGTGAACGTAAGACCTCATCTTAATTTGAACTAAACTTCCACCAAATTCACCACATAGTGGGGTTAATCACATACCTCTGAACATGTTGGTATCCGCATTCATACATCTTTGCAGAAGTTTGTTCAACCCTTCCCCATTTTTAATAATATATAATATAATATAATTTAACTTTTTTACTACACCAACATTTTGTCGTCGTAAATCATATACGTTTATGTCTACCCATGATGAAAAACTAGTTAAAAAGAAATATTTATTCTCTCTGTTCTGTTTGATAAATATAATCTTCATAGAAGACATTCTCTGTGAAATAATGAACAAATCAACGCAAAATATGTGGTGATACTTGCATAACTCAAATTCAGGATGCTATTGATGGGAATCCTACTCAACTAACTGTTGATCAAAAATATTAACTTTATGTATATGCTTGTCACAAATACCCTATGCTGCTACTCCGTAATACCAAAGTATATTGGTAGATTAAGAAGCTGCCGTAGATAGATCGATTCTATAACTTTAGTTATTGCAAGCGAGTGAAACCCAGTTGTCATCGGTGATCTCACGTTTGGATTTTGCGAAGTGCGTAATGTCCGTGATCCACTATTCCCAGGTGATCGTAGATCTTAAATAAAATGTGACTATTCGCTTTCTTGAGGATGAGAGCCATTTTGTCGTTTAATAAGTATATAAAACCATAACATTCTTTAGAACAATCCTTAGAATGTTGATAATAAATCATGATGCACTTCTATGCAATTAACAATAGAGTTTCGTCATCAGATCTTAGACTTAATACTATTCAGTCATCCTGGGTAGTATAATGCGACGTCAAGAAATTCAGTTTTCCGTTGCGACGAAAAACACAAAAAAGCTAACATTCTCCCTTGATTCACAATTTTTTCAGAAGTTCTATCTCTCTTCATTGCTTGACTTAATTGGAATTTAGTTTGTACGTCACCATGAGTAATTGTCAAGAGTCTTCGTCACTCAATTGCAAAGGAAAGTTAATTTACGTACCCACTAAATACAATGGTTGTGGCTAGTAATCGGGACCCATTGTATTACGGTAATATTCTTTCATCATAGTGAAAATTTGAAGGACGACGGGATTCTGAATTTATTTCTTTTAGTATCGCTTTGTATTTTATAATCACGTTCATTCCAATTCACGACATGCTACATTCCTAATGTTATCCCACCTCCATACACAAACTGTTAAAGCAGTATTTAAGACCCATAATGTGGTTACATGTTGGTATATTCTTCTCCACACATTGGTCCAGGTACTATCCGTTGATTGAATTTTTCAACTAATAGCCACTTGTTAGTTAACATGTTAAAGAAAACCCTCGCTTTGATATACTTTTCTTTGTAGCAAATTAAATCTTTTCTGTAATGAATTGTTATCATATTGATTATAACCTAAATATGTGAAATGATTATTGTTGGTAGATGGATTATCTACATACGAGAATGTATAGTGCATGATATTAATCGTCTGACCACACTATAACTGCTTTATCCATGTTTTACCAAGAATTTTATTTATGCCCTCGAAGGGGGAATATAAACTCTTGCTTGTAAAGCCTTATTCGAGCAGTTTTTAAGTTATTAGTGATTAGCTTCTTTTGTAATGTTTCATTCACTAATTCTTTCACATATTCCTAAGGAATATTTATCTGCTCTGTCTGCTTCAAGAGGACTAGACTGCAAATGACGTAGAGAATTGAGCAGAACAAATTTATTATGTTATGTCAAGGTCAAACGAGTTTCAAGCTTCTGTTAAATCCATGTGTTTTCATAATGCCGTGTTTTGCATACAGTCTATGGTCATTGGGATTTTACTACGAACTGAAATCTCCAGTCCAAGGAATTATTGTTTACCTGTTTGTGATTTGCCTACATATACACTGGTGTGAGTTTTCGACGTACTTACTGTCTTATGGTCTTTTAACTCTCATAGTTAATCTTATTTTATTGTTTGAAAAATGTTCATTCCATACACATGAAGCTTCAGTACCAACGCTACTTCTAAAAGCACTGGTAAGTAAATAAGCAACTAAATTAAATGTAGGCATTTAAATAATGGTTTGGTGATATTTGGCAGGTCACACTATAGTCAATTATTACCCATACACTGCTAAATTAGTTTTGGTCATTTCAGTGTTCTAGACTCAGATTATTTTACTGCACTCTTGAGCCGAAAGTTTTCGATACAGTGGTCTGATTTCTTACTTCATGGGGTTACAATTTTTGTGTTGGTATCAAATGATATTTGTTATTGACGTAGTTGAATTCAGATATCAGAATATATGTTTAGCTCTTCAGAAATAAATTATCGTCTCTGTCGGTTGATAAGTGTTTAACCGTAACAAATCATGTGGTTTTGGAGGTTATTCTAGTCATAGTTTAATTGTTTTGCTTTTATTCCATGTATGTCACCATAGTGTCACTTTATTTGTTAAACAATCACTACATGAAATACTGACTAACATGAAGATACGTTCTGTTCAAATATCTGGGAAAATTTATAAGTCTATGTAAAGGTTAGCTTATCAATTCATTAAAATACCACAAGTAAATTCACACAAAATGCATCAAACTTTTTCACGGTTATTTTTAATATAATGATGCCAAGCAACCAAATATTTGACAATTATACATTACTTTCTAAAAAAATTTACAGCTCATACAACTCTCTTACGATCCCAACTATCTTCGTCGAATGATTTGTTTGGCATCCCTTCATCAGCTAGGTGAAGCTCAGTCTTGTCGGTCGGAATTACTGCAGAAACATTTACTTCCTACTATAGTTCAACTGGGTCAAGATCCTGTGCCAAATGTTCGTTTCAAAGTAAGAGTGGTATTCAGCATTTGAGTGTTATTATAAGCATAACTAAGCTGTCTTTGATGCTTTTATCCATTTCTGTCTTTATGCAGAGAAACGTAGGTAGAGACTAAGCTGTAAACATGTCAAGTCGAGGTCACTATTATCAAATTTATCTAAAAATTAGAGCCTTGAGCCTGATATACATCATACGTTTTCATCAATGTCAAACATGTAGTATCTTATGCTGGTTAAACACAACATGAAACATTGTATATAAGGTTTTATTGATGTTTACCGCAATATATAGTTTTAAAAATGATACAGTTTTCCAATGCCTTTTCTGCACATTCTAGGTTGGTCAAATTTTGGGCAAAATTGGCCATCTTCTGGATGCATCGACTATACAGACATTTGTTAAACCAACGTTAGAAAAACTGGGCTCTGATACAGATCCAGATGTTGTTTATTATGCCAAAGAATCCAGCGAATTACTTCATCTTTCAGGAAGATGAAAGCCATGTCAAGAAACCACACGCGTTTTATTCTGTGCACAGGATAATTATGATATTTAAATACATGTAAATTGACAGCATATCTGGTACCTTACTTCCAGAGTAGTGATACTCTATTAATAAAGTAAATGTGAGCTTGTGTGTTTGTGGTTCTTGTTCAATTGTGTCTGTGTATGTGCCTTAACGTAAACTAGTTGCATATGTTTGTATTAGTTATTAAATTCTGTTCTCATTATTATTTTGAAGAAAACGATAAGGGAAGTGCATGTCGTCGTTTAATTTATTTATTGTCAACTTCATGAAAGTAGCTTGCTTTCATAAAGCAAAACTCAAATGTTTGTGATTCATCTTTTCTTTTTTATTCAATAAAACGTCGGAATACAATGTCGTTACGAATTATGAATATTAGTCGTGTGCTTGGCCCGAATTCCTTGTACAATGTCGCAAAACAAAAATATGCACTATGTGGAAGTGTGCTGCTGATTATAGCTGATCAGATAACTAAAGCTTAAATTTTTAGAAGTATGCTTGTTACTACTGCTTTACCATCTAAGGCAATTCTAAGAAGCTACCTGCCGGGTTGCATAGTTAAGAACACAAAGTACTCGTAACTGACCATAAGTATGAAACCATATACTACATAAAACGTAAAATGAATTCATCATAGTTACAGGTAAATCCCATAGTTTGTTCATAAAAATATCATATTCATCATTGCTACCATTTCGCCTTCAGTAACTTACTGGATTCTGAATCCTTTCAACGTTAAATGCTCATATCTTGTGTGATTTGTAACTTAAATGCAGCTACAATAATTTGTGATTGCTGTCCGGCGACATTATTGTTTGGTAATTTATGTCGGATCTTTGTTCATATTAATACAACACTATGAAAGTAGCGTGATCAAGTTTCTGATGACTTTTGAATGGGCAATAATATGTTGAATAATTAAATAAAATAATGAAAGACATTAAAATCTCTAGAAAAACACCAACGATCCATTAATAATTGAATTATTTGGGGAATGTACTTTTGTCACCAAATAGTTTGAGTGTCCGTAGAAAAGATCGTACTTTATGATTTTCTAGTAACTGACAGTTACTACTTTGAAGTACGTTTAGACCATGAATAAATTAAGCGAGCGTCTCTAATTCACACCCAGTAAAATAAACTTATCTGTAATTCATTTCTCTAAATATAAATTTATGACAAACGTGTATTATCCATAATGACGCTTTTTTTCGATTCCCAATTTTCTTGCTGATACCGATAATGTTACTGTTACTACCAACCACATTGCTTAGAGATTAACAAGCATTAAAACGCTTACCATGATATGGGTACAAAACATGGTAATAAAATTCCCTAAAGATAGTGATATACTTGTTCATTGAAAATAGGTTTCACTAAGTATATGCTGACATTTATTGTAAATAATACGTCAATTATGTTGCAGTTCGTTTACAGATTCTTTGCAATAAGATTGATCGCCTGAATATTATCATAATCC